TAGTTCTCATTGACCTATTGTTGTTAAGTACACTTAAGAGCACTTAGTCAATTTTGCTTTATTCCGTACATTTTTCTTGTTTCACATTTTATTGTACTTTGTCACTATTATATTTTGATTTATCACTTTAGTTAAGTTAAAAACAGACTTCACACTCTTTTTTCTTTGTTCTTTATCAAGCCATTACAAACAAGTTGGTCTTATTGGTCACAAAGCAATCACGCAAATGTCACGAAAGCTATTATGGAACTATAATGCAAATGTTGTTAACTTGGTCGTATTTAAAAAATTCTTTGTTTCAGTATTGYTGTGGTAAAGCATGTCGACTAAATACTTCAGTAGTGAGATTATCTTTATTATTGAATTTATAAGCCGAAAAGTAAAAGTTCAGGAGTGGGAGCCAACGGGGTCTGTTCTTCTACATAGCTTCTTGTACGAATTTTTTTCTGGGAAAGGGATTTTGAGCTTTATTGTTGACAATCTCACAAGCAAATGAGGCGCTCTTCCTTCTTTAAAATAATTTTGTTCCTGGCAAAAGTTTTTAAGGTCAAAAAAGGCCAATATCTTTTATTTAGGAGATTTTTATTTTCCTGGCAAAAATTATTAGAAAGTATTCCTTTGCCTGGAGAGTTTTTTTCCTGAATTTCTCGCTGGCAACCAGGACTTGTGGCTTAAAGCTGGCTGGGACATAAGAACAGATATATTTCTCCCAGGAACTCGTCGGCTCCTAAAGGTTTTAACAACCATTGATAATGACGGTACTACACAGGTAACCCACAAGGAAATGGTTTTCAGCTTGGATGCTAGGGAAATGTTGTGGCGAGTTTTTGATGAAAATACAGTTATTCAAAAATCTCTGGCTTGCATTTATAAGCACAACTAATGATGGAAAAGCTTTAAATTTGCATGTCTCGATAAGTAGTCATTGTTTAAGAGCAGACGTCTCTTGCGGTCCGGTGATCACTCCATTTTTTCACTTCTGATCAACTCGTGATCTTCACAAACTAAAGTTATTCGATTCCTAGAATTTATTTGTTTTCTTTTTACAAATCCTTGTATCTGCATCCTCGGKAACCCAGGGGTAATCTTCCTTCCAGAGTGAGGAACGAACGACAGAAGATTACCCTTGGGTTCCCGAGGRTGTTGTATCTGTATTTCTATTTGGTATYTATTGCGACTGAGAAAACGCTTGAGCGGTTCGTATATCATTATCATACTGCATGATATGAKGGAGTTAATAGACTTAAYAGCTCCATAAAAAGCTTACATATATACAATCTYATGTRTGTGTTAAACTCGAATGTCGYTATATATGAGAGAACTGCGACAAGGTCCTCATTTATGTGAATGAAGTATTTGACTCTCCTTGCGGATTGATTGCCACTGAATGGCATACGATTTACGGTGAGGGTACGTGACTCCTACGCTAATAGACGTTTGTTTACCTTTGTGAGAAGCATTCATACTACGAAAATAACTATCCTWATGGGTCGATAACCTTATCTTTATGAGTGCGTCAAGTTAGTTAACATGTGTTAATAGAATACCTCGCTTTAACGTATTCTCCATAGAAAACAGGTTCCCTACAGTCAATCACTAAGTCTGGTTTCCCCTTGAAGACTTTACATATTAACATATCTAATATCATGCAAAATTGCGAGGCTTGTCTCTTGCAGTTTGGTGCATTCTGGTGATCACTAATCAATGAAGTAAAGCAACGCCCGAGATCAAACTAMAATGTTATGAGATTGCGTTTATTTGGTTATAAGGATTATTTACTTTTCTAACGTAAACGCTTAGACATACATTTCAGTTTTTACACTGTGATAGGTTGATTGGCAAATCCATTTCAAACTCATGCCATTCAAAGGGTGTTGGCTGCATGTCATTATTTCAGAGTACTTGATTGTACTTTTACCATCTCTTGCTATTGGTATACGTTTACTCGATGAAAATGGCCGTTAGCTCCCAGGAAGCCTACTTGCTATCCATAATGCATTCTCTGTGGAAAAACCGATCCATTGCAGTCATACTTGGTTTAAAGATTCCTGAACAACTCTGCAACAGCGAAAAGCCATCCATGAGTATCGAAGAGATCGCTACAAAGTCAGGTTGTCAGTCAATTACGCAGCTATACGCCTTGATGAGACTTCTCGCTCGATGGGGAATCGGTAGAGAGCTTGAAAATAAGCATTTCACTAAGAATGAAAGCATGGAAGTGTTAAGACGAGACAAAGGTCCAAGTGTAGGTCATGCGTTCGAATACTACTGTAGCGAGGAGCATTACAGTGCTTTGAGGTCATTGGGGTCGTGCGTGAAGCAAGGCAAACCTGCATTTATTCTGGAACACGGAATGGATCATTTTACTTACATGTATGACCTGGTAAAATGCTACGATCAATCAAAGATGTTTGAAGGATCGTCTGAGCACAAGATAGGAAGCGATGATCGCAGAAGGGAGTTCGCCGATAACTATTCCAGTGCCATGTTGCACTTTTCACATCTGGCAGCACCTTCAGATAAAACTGGTGTGAATACTGTTTACAATGTATTTCCCTGGTCAACATGCAA